CCATTTGTTCTTTTCTTTTCCTCTTACATTCCATATCTAGTTGATTTTTGGAAATCTTCCTGGCCGAACCTCCGAAATAGTCTACCATTTTCCTCCCATCCCTGCACTTCCATGCCAATTGATAGAGAGCACCAGCCTCCGAAAGGACCTCCCTCCTCCCATCTTGGCCATACAGATACTCTGGGAAGCCAGGTGACATCACCATTTGGACCAAATCCTTTCGAAGGCTTCTCAGAACACACACACGAAAACTCTAAGTTCTTCGGGTCACCTGCCAGCCCGAATTCAAGCTGGCTCCGTTCCCATTACCTCTTAGAGCTCGTGTGGGTCACTCCGCTCCAGCCACGCCAAGCATGCTCCTGCCTCAGGCGCTTCGCACACAGACTTCTCCCGATAACGCGGTCCCTCGCTGCCTAGGGAGGTCTTCCCTGATCATGGCAAGCACTCATTCATCTTCCACGTCCCCCTGGCACATCTCTATTTCTAAAGCATTTAACCTTCCACCTCAAAATATTATAAAAGTTTAGTGGCCAATTCTGCCACGAGGGTAAAGGTTTTATTGGTCGCCGACATTTTCCCAGATCCTGGACTACCAAACAGCCCGGATTAATGCTCGTGTTGAATGATAAACTTAATGGGCCTTGACCTCAATCCTATATGCAAGAATGAACTATCAAAGCTGTTTCTGAATCCAAACCCTAAAGCTTAATGCCAGGATTTTACTCCATTTTTCTCCAAGCCTCCTCACTTTTGTGAAGAAGTATCTGAACTCTTGATGAGCCTGAATAATCACCAGATTCCCAGGCTCCTTTTCTGCCCATCACTTTCTCTCCTCTCTCTTCCTTCTCCTCCTTCCACCTTCGGTTCCTCTCATTTCTACCTAAACTCACGCCCATGACTCTCACCATTCCAGTTCCCAATGCCTTGTTCCCCACCTCAACAACCATTCTGCCCCCTTTTTATCATAAAACCACTCCAAAGAGTAGCTGGCAAGTTGTCCTCACTCCTCTTCCACGTCCTCCCAAGTCGCTCAGTGTCTGGCTTCTGTCACCGGCACTCAACTGAAAATATGCCTTTGAAAATCTCCAGTCTACCTCATTGGCCAGCCGAACGGGTTTCTCCCTCACCAATCCCCACCCATGGTTCCACCCTTTCTTCTTTTCCTTTCCCATCTCAACTTGGCATGGCGCACTGCACTGGGCTCCCGCCACCACCCTCAACACTCACTCACACTGAGATCCCGCTAGGCCTTTGTCTCCCTATGGTCATTTTTCTGAGTTCTCTCTCTTCTCCATGCCTAGGCCACAGACTCCCTCAAAGTTCACAGCATGCATTAACCTCCACCTGTGGGAGAAGATTCTCGAATCTACAGCTTTTCAAACCACACACCTCTACACCTAGAGCGTCCCCATTGCCACAGCGGAGCCCTGTGGCCACATCTCCTAACATGTCAGCCGCCTCCCCTTCACCCTGTTAAGGGGGCTACAGGCTTCTGTTCACAAAGCCTTCCTAACGCTGTGATCCTTTAAAACAGTCCTCCATGTGGGGTCCCCCAACCACAAAATTTCTTCAATGCTACTTTGTAACTGTAATCTTGCTACTGTTATGAATCATACTGTCAATACCTGATATGCAGGACATCTGATAGTCAACACCTGTGAAAGGGTTGTTCTATACTCAAGGGGTCATGACCCACAGGCTGAGAGCCACTGCCTTAGACCATCTTGAACATCCCCCTCCCCACTGGTTCATTTGTAAATGCATTGGTTCTGACCCCTTAGTACACATGGCATCACCTAGACTCTTCCATGACTGAAGCCGGCACTCCAGTCCGGCGCTCCATCACCAGGGCTATCTGGGAAGCACCGAGTATCTTCCAGTCAAAGTCACTCCTGCTTCACTGCCTTCCTGCTGGGACCCACCAGGCAGAGCTCCAGAAGCACCACTGTGCCCGGGCATTGCTGTCCATACTAAACCACCTAATGATTTCTTATGTCACTCAGCACATCCAATCATCTCGGTCTGAAATTTAAGACCATCTTGAGACAGGGTGGCAGCTACCTTTCCTACTCCATAGTCACCCGCCGTTCTGCAAACAAGCCGCATGCCCTCCTGAGAACCCACTCTACCCAGGAACCTCGCTCTTTCAAAGCTGTTCTCAACCATGGCCAAACTGTACACGGCACGCCACTAGCCGCCACTTCCACCGTCTCTAGACAGTAATAACTCCACTTCTCCCTCGTGGGATCGCTTCCACAGCTCTTATTGCAAATAACTGCATCCTAAAATTCTAGCTCTCTCCTGAACCCGACTCCTTAGGGATAAGATGTGCATCTGTCTTCTAATAAGGACTGAAATCTCCACCTCTAGAAGCATCAGGTATAGATCCAACCAATCACAGAATCAGTAGCAGGAGATACTCAGACTCTTATTTCCTGTTCTCATCTTACTGACCTGGCAGGAACGTCCAACCCAGTATTAGATGACCGTGGTGACAGCAGATGTCTATCTTCATTTTGCTTGTACTATAGGTTTGTAGTAGAAAAAAAAAACTACATGCCACTACATTCTTGGAGCTTAACACTGAAACAAGATGGGGAGCGGGGGTGTATCCAAATGGAATGAATTAGGACACCATACTGGGGCAAATAAAAATCAGGAGAGTAAACGAGGGAAGGCACAAGGTCAAGGGAGCCTCTCCCTGAGATATGAGCTTCTTATGCTCCAGCTTCCTGCACCAGAATGGAAAACAAGCAGAGAGCAACAGTGCTGGAAGTCTGCTCCCCTGGCTCCCAGAATGCTCTACGCACTGGGTCTTCTTCCTGTGCCTTGCCCTGCATAAGCAATGGAGAGTCACAACAAGGATGCTAAGGACACTGTGAAAGCAGAGCCTTCCAGATCAGGAAATTCTGTTCCTGACAGGGCATGGACCAAAGGGGGAACTTTATAGGCCTGGCGACCAGAAACAACTGGCCCCTCTGCAGCTCATCTTATTTCCTGGCTGAGTCACTTGTAGTTGATGGAGATTGGTAACAAGGTAAGGGAACAGAGACATGGTGCCAACGGTATTCTTGTTCCTCCCTATGACCTGAGTGGCTACAGAATACAGACAGTGAAACTTTTGGAAGCTGGGAGGAGAGAACCTGACTGGAGACCCGCTCCAAGAAGATACTCCTCCCAGACCATTAGTAAGCTATAGAGCAGGGTTCCAGAAAGGGAAGAAAACTTATGCTGCCCTGTGCATTTTGAAGTTCCAGGGATCAGCTCACCACTACACTGGGGTGTCATAGTCCTTCAGCATCCTGACACCACTCAATAAAACATTGGGAGGAGAATGAGACAGCAGAGGCACTTGGGGGAGCCCCTCCTCTTTCCGAAGCAAAGCTGATAGGGACAGTTCCAGCCGATAGAGTGAGATAGAATGTGGCCACAGTCAGGTGCCCCATCTGGACCTCCACACTGTATTTTTGCCACAGAGTCACAGAGCTACAGGTCCAGGGCCTTGGGGCTCAGGGAAAGCAGAGATAGCAGTCTGGAAAGAACAGCCCTTTAGGGAGCCAAGGCCCCAACAGTAGCATTTTGTTTTTGTTTTTTTGTTTTGTTTTGTTTTTTGAGACAGGGTTTCTCTGTGTAACAGCCCAGGCTGTCCTGGAACTCACTCTGTAGACCAGGCTGTGCCTCCCAAGTGCTCAGATTAAAGGCACGTGCCACCACCACCTGGCCAACAGTCACTTCTTATGGTATAAATACTTCTACTGGCCCACTATCAGCTGATAGAAAGCAGAACCAAGGGTGGCGAGTCTCTACTCTGAAGCTCAGGAGCAGAGTGTCCCCACCCCCATACCCAGCCTTGGGCCCAACCCGAGAGCCAATGGTCAGCTGAACTGCTTCCCCAAACCTACATCCATCCTTTCCAGGGAGGGCGTCTCCTCCTGCCTTGCAGCTGGCATGGTGACTCAGCTGCCCCTAAATTTAGGAAAAGGAGCAGAGGACAGAGCCAGCTGCCTGGCTTCCTCTTCTCCCCAAGATGCCCCACCCTGTCAGCAGAGCGACTGGGCACAAGACTCACCTCATCATCACAGTCCCTGGGCCACACCTATCTGGGCTTCATCTCACAACCAGGGAAACCATTGTGCCTGGTGCAGGATTTCCCAGGTGGGGAATCTTTGACTGCCGGGGGAAGCATCGCAAACTGGGGCTGTGGGTTATGATATCCCATGCTTGTCCCTCTCAACAGGATCCCTGCACCCTGGCTCTTTCTTGGCCTTTCCTTCCAGCAGATTCCTCTGTGATCTCTTTCTCTGTCTGTCTGTCTGTCTGTCTCTCGCACCACCCACACAGGGCGGGTCTAAGCAAGAACAGAACAGCTGAGCTAGGACGAGACTCCTGGAGTCCCCATTAGGGTGAACATCAGAGACCCACTGTTTCAGGGTATTTTCATGAGCCTTCTGGGATGGGCTCAGAATGAAATAACATCTAAGTAGCATCTAAAATCCTCCCTCTAGCCTTTTACCACTGTCCCAAGGCCCTGAACTGTGAGGACAGTGAACATTTTAGCAGCTGCAGAGTCTCCTCTCTGCTTAAAGCATCTATCCCCTAAGTCACTGCCTCCAGAAGGCCTTCCCTGATTGACTTAGTTGGTAAGCTTCATACTGGGACCTTGGTTCTGCTGATTCTGCACAATTTATCCTCTGTTAGAACCATCTACGTACTTACTTCCTGATAAAACTGTGAACTCCCTGAGGTCAGGCATGGATAGATACTGATCTTTGAGTTCCAATGCCTGGCTTAGTGCCTAATAGATGATCTATACAGGAAGGGAGGGCTGTGTGAACATTCCCAAGACCTCCCCAGACTAAAAAAAAAAAAAATGCTGCTAAAGGCTCTAACCTATGCTGTGCCCACCTCTCCTCGCCCCAATAGACCACAGAGACCAAACAGGGGAGGGGAGGGGGAAACAGGGAGAGGTTTCCCAGGTCTCATGTCTTCAAGGCCTTTACCTGCTACCCGGTGGGCTACCAGTCCTTCCAGATTCAGTGGTTCTTCCTCTGGAGTTCGGGAGGAGTCTGAAGTAGTCTCCTTTGGTGGGAGTTGAGGCTGAGTGACGAGACCAGGAAGAGAGGTTGGGGGCTCTTGAGGCCCCGCAGAACTATAGGGGCTCGGAAGGAAGACGGAAGAGGCTGGACTCTTTGGACGGAAACTCTGGTTGGATCCAGCTGGACGCAGCTGATAATCGTAAGGTGAATAAGACCTGCCAGAAGAGACCAGCTCCGGGGCTCCCAGGGAATGCCCACTAGGGATATAGCCAGATCGGGACTGGGTCAGTGGGTGGGACTGGCAGGAAGAGCCCAAAAGGGGCTGGGAGGCAAGTGGGGAAGCCCCTGGCCAGGCCCCAGGGACACTCTGGGACTTATGAAGAGGGGCAGCCACTGAAGTCGGCTCCAAGTCCAGCATCAGCATATTAAGGGCTTCAATGGACTGCTCAATCTCCTGCTGGGAAGCTGCCCTCGGGAACTCTGGGAGAGTAGACATAGGTGTTTCTGCTGATAGCTGGGGGCTAGGCTTGCTGCTGGCAAGACCCTGCAAGGGGGCTCTTTCCTGCTGTCGGGGAGGTGGGTGAGGCTGTTGTTGCTGCCAAGAATTCAGGCCCCTCTGCACAGCCTCTCGACTGCTGCCCCCACGGGCTGGAGCTTGGGGCAGCTGGGGCTCCACATCTGGAAAGGACTGGGATCGGAACAGACCGCTGGGGTCATAGCCACAGTGGGCGCTGGTCACTTGTGACCAGGCTGGATGGGGTCCCTCGCGTTGGTAGCCAGATAATCCCTCCTGAGCTGAGTAGGAGGGCCGAATGGGGGCCGAATGACTGCTGTGGGGTACCATCCGGTTGGCAGACTCATAGGGGTAGCCTCCACCATTGAGCATCGGTTCTGTGGAATAGGACTTGTCCAGACCATTGGTCAGTGGGGACAGAGTCTCTGGGTATCCACCTTCACTGGTGTTGGTGACGCCATCCAGGGAGGACAGCGTGCCCATGCTGCCCCCACTCTGCCCATCCTGAATGGGCAGCTCATCATCCAGAATGTCCGTCTCCCGCTCAGATGCCAGAGCCCCACCGTTGACGTGAACCTGGGCTGGGACGATGCGGCGGCTGGGAGAGGACACGGTTGGGCCCCCAGCTGGGTGGGGCCTGAGCTGCTGAGCCCGGTACATGGCGCCTTGCTTCTCTCTATCTACACCAAAGCCGCTCAGCAGGCGATCAAGCTCCTTCTTCTCCTGAGGACTCAGAGACGCAGGGGCAGTGGCAGCCCCAGAAACAGGCTCATCAGTCTTGTCTGTCTTGGTAGAGGCTGTGGAGTTGCCGGAGTCGCTGCTCACAGACAATGTGTGTTCCACATGATTGGGAGTAGCTGACAGGGCAGGTCGTGCAGTAGTGACAGGCCCTGAGCTGCCATTCAGGGAATCCTTCTTCTTCACTTTGGCATACAGACTCCCATCCAGTGGCCCTTGAGTGTGACCCACCACTTCTGCAAGGACAACAAAGGGGGCAGCAGGCAACACATGTCAGCAAAAGGCAGTCACACTCATTAGTGATAGTCCCCCCAAAAGAGCTAAAGGCTCCCATCCACTGAGCCCCAAACCTCTCTCTCCTCACTACCCTGAGAATGGCAAAGGGGAAATATGCTAGCCCCCTAACCAAGGCTTTGGGGAAGAGCCCTCAATTTTGCACTCAGCTTCAAGTGAGGTACAGTGTAAGATGGTGCAGACTGGCCCAGGCCAGTGTCCAGCTGTGGTACATCACCAGCTTCTAACCCAGAGCTGTACAAATTATTCCACGGGCCTCAGCAACCTTCTGTTTAATATGAGGGCAGGAGACGAAGGGGATGGCTCAATGGAGAAGGCATTTGTTGCACAAGAATGAGGAGCTGCCTTTAGTCCTCAAGCACTCACATGAGAAAAAACAAAAACAAAAACATAGACAAAGATATCCTTGGGTCAACCAGGTTAGACAAACTGAACCGACAAGCTACAGGTACAATTACAGGTGCAATGAAAGACCTTGTTTCAAATAGTCAGGTAGAGAAAGACCGAGGGGAGGAAGAGACACTCAGTGTTTACTCTGGCCTCCATGTATACACACACACACACACACACACACACACACACACACACACACACTAATAATAATAATAATAATAATAATAATAAAATAAAATGAAGACAGTAACTAAATCATGTTGAATCATAGAAGACAACCCCTGTTCACTGAACTCAAGACACTTCCAACTGAATGAGCCGACGCCCTATGGCGGTATCATGGTACGACATCACCCACTGGCAGCCATGATTTCTGTTACTATGAACACCATTAATTACTGAAAGGGGACATCCAGAGTCTACGCAGCCCCTACAGCACGCACTTCAGGAAGCTTCCTCTGCTTTCCAGTCCTAGGAGTCCTGCCCTGGGATAGAGGCAGCAGGGCCAGAAGAGGCATTACCTCAAACACAAGCACATGGAAGGTTTAAGTATGAAGACCCAGACCTCCCCTAAAGACAACCTTCAAGCAGGAGAGCCAAAGAGAGTCCCAGAGGATGGCAGGGGGTATAAATACATACAATCATTCCCTTCATAGAGCGGAGCTGGAGAGTTCTGGGAGTGACTGGGCACTGGGCAGGATCCACACATGCTCAGTGCTGGACTGGGCAAAGAGGCCGAAGTCAAAGTTAAAGCTAAGGCAAACCAGCCCTAGCCTTCCACAGTGTAGTATATAGCTCAATACAAAGAATTTTCCAGAGCAGTTCAAACAATGCCATTCTTCCCTCCCACTGTCACATTTCCAGAAGTTTCTCCATATTTCTCCCAGAGCAATGGTCCATCCTTGTGGACTCGTAGTCCGTGACCAGCAGGCTTAACTCACAACATATAGGCCTCTAAAGAAGGGAAGGAGAGGCAGGGTGGGGCTTCAGGAGGCTCCCCAAAACAAGCACTCAGATGTCTGCAGCTCCCAGAACGGGAAGGTTGGACTTTGGTGCTCCAGTGGTACCCATGCCAAACTATGGAGTAGGGCAAGGGAGAGTATTGGGGGGGGGGGTGCTAGCGCCAGGCCAGAGCAGTAGTAGAAGCAACTTAGGTATGAAGTCTGAGGGGTGTCCTTTTGTCTGAAGACAGCTCTGGAGAAGCCCCCAAGAGCAACACTTTCTCTGAAAGGAAAAAGTGAGCGCTGAGTGGCTTGGGGCCAGAGGGCTGACTCAGAAACAAGGGCTGCCCCGCCCCTGCCCAGGCAGTTCAATGACTTCACACCCTAAGGAGACAGCAGCCCAGTTTCAGCCCTCCCACCCCCATCTCCACCCCCACATACCTCCTCTCCTAATTCTCCAATCTAGACCCAAGGTATCAGGGAAAAAGGCACTTCCCAAAGGCTGTACCACCTCCAGCCAGGACCTCAGTCATATACAAAGCCAGACACAAGAGCCATGAGAAATGCACATGCCATAGAAATCAGTCAGTCGGACACACCAAGATGTATGTCCGATTCCACACTGAGGGCTCGCAGAGGGGAGAGAAACAGTAAGAAAGTGGGGTCTGTTTACATGTCCAAACACCAGTCACTGCTGGACTGCAGAAGCCATCTCCAGACATGTCACTAGACACTTCACACACGCAGTGTTGCAGGGCTTGCTACTCAAGGACGGCTGTGCTTCCAGGAAAGATGGAGAAACCGAGGTACAGAAAGGCAAAGGAATCCATTTTCAAATGTGTGGAATCTGTGCAAGTTTACGGTGAGGACTAATTTACTTTGAAGACAGAGAGAGAGAGAGAGAGAGAGAGAGAGAGAGAGAGAGAATAAACACACAAAAGGCAGGAATAATCCAAAATAAATATTTAAACTTAAAGCCACAAACACTTCAAAAAGCACAAATGATCTTGCCGTGCCCAAGAATTATCCCTCAGGCCCAAAATGAGCCACTGAAAACAAACCCTCACACAGAAGATTATAGCCAAAAACAAGTGGCCATACGACCGCAAAACAGAAATGCCTCCAGCCGTGCTCCTGTGTGCAAGGGCCCACACGCCACAGGCCACCACACGTCACTCAGAGCTCTCAGAGATGCTGGCCAGACAATACATTCCAAACTTCCACACATGCTCCCCAGGGCCACAGAGCTACAATTCTGGCCTCAGTTTCCTCTGAGGCTCTAGGATCTACACAAGCAACCAGCCCTACATGGCACAGCTGCCTGTTCTGTCTGACAGCCCAGGCTCTCGGGACTGTGGCCTGAGTGTGCCATCAGCCTACCTGCACCAGACTGCGAAGGACTAAGGTGGGCCCCGCACAGTCGCCTCTCTGTCTTGCTTGCCCTTATCTCCAGAGGAGTAAAGTATAGGACACGAGGCTTTCCTCTGGCTCTGTCTCTCTGAGAACAGGCTCCCCATTTACTGGTTGCTTCCAGAGGGGACAAGTACCAAAACCAAGGGCTGCCATCCACAGAGACTTGTGAAGTGGTCTCTGGAGAGTAGGTCTCTTGGGCCAGAGGGCAGGGAGAGTTGCCTTCCCTCCTCTCAGCCTGGGCAGCTGCAGACCCTCCACACAGGCAACAGAACAGATGTTGTTGTATCCCTCAGGCCGGGATTCCTCTATAGGCTCTACCCGGCTCCACTGGCTCTGCCCTGCAGCTCCTTCACTCAGCCACAGCAGCCATGAGAGCCGCTGGTGCTGATCCAATGGGAGAACACCCAAGACCATCCCAGAATCCACCCAGGAGTTTGTAAAAGAACATTCCCCGAGGCAGGCAGGAGCATGCAGGCTGATTCTCGGCACCTGACCTCCTGCCCCCCCCCCCCCGGCTCCTCCTTTCCCCTCTGAGCCAGTCCTCGCTCGGCATTGATTTTGAAAATGTCAATATTAAACTTGTTCGGCCATGTAACGTATCTCGCCTGGGCTATTGTTCTCGGCAACGTCCGGAATATCAACTGCCAAGCCACTAAAGAAAATCGAAGAGGTGTAAATTATTTAATTAAACACTGCTTGTGAAATACAAAAGCAAACATATCTTGCTGTCCTCCAGGAGAGGGGCTAGTTGCTCCTGGCTGCCTAGTGCAGGCCACAGGGGCCCTACCCTCTGAGCTACCGCAGCACCTTCACTGAGTGGTCCTCTAACTTGTAACAAGGGCAAAATCAAGGGCAAGCAGGCCTGCCCCAGCCCCAGCAGGACTTCAACTGATGGCCCAGTGAGCAAAACCCCAATCAGTGGAGCACTCTCACCCTCCTCCTCTGAGGGACACCCAGGTCAGTGCCTCCAGCCCCCCATGCCAGGACTCACACTCTCTGGCTCCCTCTCCCCTACCACAGGCACATTAAGTCCTATTTAGCGGGACCACAAGAAGCCGGAACACAAGGCTGGTTTCAATCCATCAAAGCAGGAAGGGTAAAAGAGAAAGGCAGACACACCAGAGGGTGGAAGTGGGATAAAGAGGCAGGGAGACAAGAAGGACCTGTGGGGAGCTGGGGTTGGGGAGGGGGATCTAAGGCTTACGAGCTGAGGAGTCACCTTGGAATCCAAGGCCCAGCAGCCAACACAAGCATTTCAAGTAAAGCCCCCTGAAAAAGGAAGGAGGTCATGTCTCAGAGAAGTCTGGCACAGAAGAAGGGCCTGGCTGGGAGGGGTCATGAGTCCTGGCCAGGTGACGACCGAATATAAAGATCAACAATACCAAATACCCAGATTGTCATCGATCCTGGGCAGCAAGCCCCCAGACCCCAGTGCAGGCTGGCTGGGTGTCCACTTCTGCCACAGACTGCATGCTGTCCATCTTTCCTGGAAATTGACAAGTCCACGGTGGAATCAAGGCCCCACTCACTTCCTCTGACTATCTGCTCGTTCTAGCAGTCACTGGGAGAGGGACTCAGCTCAGGGTGCTGTGTTTGGTTGCATGCACCAAGGGGCCCTTGCTCCACCAGGGCAGGGATCCAGATGGACGAGTCATGGTTTTGGAAAGATCTGAGGAAAATCCCCGGCTGACTTGGATGTGGATCCACACACTGGGGCCCCCTCCCAGCAGCACCCTGTGCAGAGGTATGCCAAGCTCCAACAACAGCACCGCCATAGGCCAGGACACAGATGGGCAGGGCAAGCCCATCGGACACACCAAAGAGGAGAAAAGGAGTAGAAGGTGCTAAAGTTAAACCAGTCTTGGGGACGTGTTTTTTTAATTCTGATGCTCGGGACTCTTCCAGGAATTGTTAAGAAGGCAGATCCCAGGGCCCATCTGAAGGAGTCTCACTGGGAGGCCAGGGCTGGGGCTGAGCCTCAGCACTGTAAACATGCTATTTGTAGCTTTGGGATCTAAGATTTGGATCCAAATGTGGAGCAGAGAGATGTTGCTTGCTAAGACATCAGGGCAGACAGCCCAGCCATGGGGAGGATACGATGCTGGCCTGGCCCGCTCTGAGAAAGGCAACCCCTTCGTAAGGAGGGCTCCCGGAGAAGAAAACCTGAGCAGCCAGCAGGTGCACGTGGAAGAGTG